TGGGCGCTTTTTGAAGGGAACGCACGCATGAACAATCAGTGAATAACTAGCTCTAAATTTAACATGTCAGCACTGGAAGTAATTCATGAATGTTAAGGTAGTTCTGAAGAGGCTATTATTGGAATCAGTGTTGGAAAAATCAGCAATCAATTGATATTTTTCCGCTCTCATTCGATCTCAATAACACGCGTGATGTTGGAACAAAATATCATGCTTGATATTGATTTTACAAGCTTCTTTTGTTATTGCAAGACTATTCACAACGTGCAAAAACCAAGCTGAGAGTTGACTCGACACAAAAATGATTCCGTTGCACATCGTTTTCTTAGAAAGAGGAAGTATAGTTTGCTATCTCTTCTTACTCTTCACCGATGGCAGACACGAAGTGACTGCTGCCAGCCGTTATGGAAGTTTCGGTTGCGTTCGGGTGTAAAGCAAAAATCATGAAACTCAATCTCACCACAGTTTGTAGAGATTTGCAATTGGTGAGTTTTGTTAGCTTGATATTCCGAGCTGCGATACCACAGCTGGCAAAATCAACCGCAGTTGTTTGCTTGTTGTTTTTTGTCTACGAAAATCAAGCGTGATCTTGGGCGTTGGTAAGATTTGATTTTTTTGATATTTTCCCAACACTGATGGGAATTATGAGTAGTATTCTAGGGAACTCAATTTAAAGCAAATCTGAAGAAAATTCAAGGCGCATTCCAAGGAAATTTACCATTGTGGAACTAACGATGGTGTATCAAACACATTGGATCTATCATCATGAACCTTAACGAAGGCCTTCCTGGAGGATAAATGTGATTATAACCAACGAACGACCTACGGCGGAAGACCAAGGCGGCTCAGTTTTGCGATAGCGATGTCATGAGGGACTTTGTATAAAGCTTCAGGGAAGTCAATGTAAACGGCGTCTACTTGCTGACGCTTTTCTATGCTACCAATAAGAGTGTTGGTGTACCCGAGCAGCACACTTGTCACTGAACAGCTGTGGATGTAATTTATTTATGTCACAATTAAGTTACAGCAATCTATTATGATGTGTTGCTTGGGTAGGACATCAAGTTGGAGATCGTCGAGCGCTTTTTCATGAATCCATGCTGGAACTCCGAGATTATAGTTTGCACAGCTGGATACAACTTGTCATGCAGAAGACTTTCGATAACTTTGTTTGGTCAAGGATTGAGATAGGTCGGTAGTTTTCCACACTGTGAATGTTACCTGACTTGAAGATCGGTGTAATTGATGCAAGCTTCCAGGAATCCGCAAAAACGCCATCCAGGAGTGAACAAGTAAAGATAGACATAACGGATGTGGCCAACGATGCTGCACAATTCTTGATGAAAGATGGTGGAATACGATCCTGACCTGGGCCTTTCGATGCATCTACCAAGCAAAGAGCTTTGAAAATAGTGTCATGGCAGAAGTTAAGCTGCTGCAGACGAATGTTGTTGTAGTTCGGTAATTGGTTGATGTACTGCTGCTGCGGAGGAGTATGATCAAGTTCGAAAACGCTTCGGAAGGAATCAACGAAGAGGTTTCCAGAAGTGGCATCGGTGAAGGAGCATAGATTACAGTAGGTAACGACTGCCGGAATACTAGCTGATCTTTGCGAGCGTTTACGAAAAAACAAAATGACCCAGTCGGCGCCGCCGGGATGTTCTGAGACATAACATCTCTGATCACGCCTTCCTTCGGATGGGAAGTAAAGCCGTTGGTCCCCGGTTCATGAGTTGATGGGTCGATAGGTATGGTCCAGGTAGTCGATAGCATTGGTGCTCAGCACGGAAAACAAGATCGACGGAAAAAACAAACCAAAGGAAAAAAAAAAGACAAAATGACGATGGGTTTTCTTGGAAGCCACTCTGGAGGTTATCGATATACTCACGAAAGTGAACTTCTTGCAAACTGTTCCCAAGTAACCAAAAGTTCCGCATTCAACGATAAAACTCACTTCTAAGTTCCATAAAGTTCAAACAAAGTTCCGACAGAACTTTCTTCTCAAGTAACCAAAATGTCCACATTCAACGATAAAACCCACTTTCAAGATCCATAAAGTTCCGATGCGTACTTCTAGCAACTTGATGTTCAAAAAACCTCCAAAAACCAACCCTAAGCACTTATTAAGAACTTCAAGAAGGCTGAAAACATGGCCACAACAAAGTCCTGAATAAGTTTTCAGCGGAACTTCTTAGCAACTTTAAAGTATCTTAAAAGTTCCCTGCGGAACTTCTTAGCAACTTGAAAGTGTCTTAAAAGGTCCGTCATAGCCCACACAAAACAATCCGCACAAGTCTTTATTAGTAACAAAATTTAATATACGTAATTATGAAATGATCAGTGACTCAAATAAATCATAATTCTCATGTTTATGCAGTGCATCAATATTCTATCCTTAAATGTTGAACTAATGAACAATTTCTTGGATTCAAGCCTGTTTATTCGACATGCGATCTACAATCCTACGACAAATGTCCTGGAGTACCAGGCGGGCAAACACCAATTTAAAATTCAACAAGGTGTTGTCAGTCAGTCAGCTGGCACTGAAAACTCCAACAGTAGGCGGGACAACAGCTCACTTTAATGTATCTCAGATGACGTAGTGGTTCGTGTTGGGGCTTGCATGAAGAAGGACTGGGTTTAATTCTTCACACAGCTCCAATACTACTACTAATGCTGATAAATCAATAAACGTTCATACCTGCCTTTAAAAATAACTTCCATAAAGACCTGACTTTCATAAAAGCGTGAACTAAATATAAAATTGATGTAGAGGACAAAAACCTTTTTTCACTTATTTTCTAAAAGTTCTGTTCAAGTTCCGCCAGAAGCTACATAGAATGCTCTTCAATTATGGTACCAGAACTTTCAAGTTCTTATAAAGACATGAAAATGAGGCTGCTTAGAATTCTACAGACCACCTTCAACCAAGCTGCTTAAGCCACAAATAGCGTTTTATCAGAACTTGTGGTTACTTGGGTTGTACTCGGCTTCTGCAAGCTGCGCACCATACTTGTATTCAGCAGTCCTGGAGCGAAAGTAACGTTTACGGGCCTTACGCAGACGGTTACGCAGATTACGCAATTGCGGATTCCACCAAGAAGGTCTACGAGCCTTTACCGGAACAGTATCATCATGGAGTACTTGATAAATATTGTCATAGAATACGGACACGGCGGCATCAATGGTAGGTAAGTTAAGTAATTGCCCCCAATCTAACGCTGAAATTCTCACATTAATAACATCGAAATCACACCGTGCTAAATTGTACTCACTGCGTGCTGCCGGATACGATGACGGATGGTCGCTCGCTAATTGCTTATGATAGCGATCAACTTTCAAAATGACAGATGGTGGTTCAAACAGCTCAATATGATCTGAATCACTGACCAGCACCAGGTCGAGAAGTTTACCATCCGCGTTGACCAGATCGCAGCCAGTAAGGACTCGACTACAGCAAGTTCCTGTTCAGATGAAGCTTTGAGAGGTAAGAATCCTTGGACATCCTCATCGAAGTCCCAAGCTAGATTCGGCAGGTTGTAATCACCCAAAACTGTAGTCCTATCATGAGGGCTAGCCATTTCAAGAACCTATTGCACGGAGTCGGCGTGCTTGGTGTAGTAGATGTCGAGTTGACTACTGGGACGAATGTAAATGCAACACAGGAAAAGCGATTGATGTGGTAGTATAACTTGCACAGCAATTTGTTCGAGATTTTCGCAATCAACCAGATGGACGGCTTTACAATTCAGCACGGATTTCACGGCAATTGGGACACCACCACCACGTCGTAGTACACTGGTGCGGGAATTGCGGTCACAGCGGTAGATAGTGATAGTTCAGCATTCACGATGTCAGTATGAAGCCACGTTTCTGTGAACACCACAACGTCAAAACCACAAGAACGCAGCGAATGGAGCAGAGCATTCGCTTTAGTTCTCAAACCACGGACGTTTTGATAGTAGACGGTCAAATGAGCACGAGTGTTGACGAGAGCAGTAAGTATAAGAAGTATTTGTATTTGACGGACCAGGATCTGCGTTCAGTCCGGGGTTCCAAAAATGCATACGAACTAGCAACCCTAAACGTTGTTCACCCGTGCATGACTCACCGCTTCTTTTGGGTATTGTTTTTATTGGTAAGAATTGAAGTTAGAGGTCAAATGTTACTGAAGATATGTTAACGATAATTTATTTTCATATGTTCATATTCATCTCCTTACAATACACCAAGCCATAGTGGTAATCCTCATTGTTCTTCATCAGCAGTTCTTTCGGTCGATGCGTCATCGACTTTGGAAAGCAACCGTTCCGTGATGAGTGTATGAATCATGACCACGTTTTGAGTCCATTGCTGCAATGGAAGCGCTCTGCCCCTTGTTGGCGATACAATGAAACCACTAGAAGTGGATCCCGTTCTGATGGAGGAGGCTTATAGGATAGCGGAAGATAAAGTGTTTATTGTGTTGTACCTTTTGACTATGATCTCATCGAACCGGTGGAAACTAACAATTTAAATTGGCTCACTACTTGACTAGCTCCAAGCAAATCGATTAACGTAGCCCATTCTAGTCGAAATTCTAGTACTATACTATGTTTGTTTTGATTCACTATGAAAGTTTGACAGATAAAATGAGGGGTTTGTGGATTTATCTAAGGGTGGATCGATTATCTTGGGACCGAAGAGAGTACCAGAGCTGAGCCAAAAAGTTGAGCAAGTTTCTTCGAGACCTTCTGGTCTTAGAGTTACCTCTATGGTTGTACGATGTTTTGTATAGTGAACAAGAATCCTCGGCTCTATAAAGTTAAATCGATTGAGCCTTATCAAATAAATAATAAAAAAAAAAGTCGATTGGGTAAAGTGGGTTTGATCTCATCGAAGCCAACATCAGTTCAAAGTTTAAATCAATCCTCAACTTTCAGTTGCCCACATCCATCAAAGGCATGATCCCACCGACAACGACAGGACATGGAATGGCACCACCCAACACTCATACATACCTTCGCATCACATCGAGCCGCTTACTCGTGCACAGCTCACATATAAATGGGGAGGCCAGGCACCATACCGTGAAGTTCAGCTAATGGGATTGTGTCACTAGTCCGCCGAGCTTTGCCCCCATTCATTCCGCTGGCTCTCGGTGTCGGCAGCGAGCGGTAGTTGCACTGGAATGCTTCATTTTTTGTTGTTTATTTTCCAAACCAAGGTACACATACAGATATTGATTAATATCTGGTGAAGCCACTGCCGGAGAGCCGCGGTTCAAATTTTATTTTCGCACACTAATATTCCCCGAAAACTCCTGGCGTCAGAAAGGGTGCACCTTTACCGATTGGAGAAATACTTCACGGTCACAATTCTGTTCGGCCAGATTTTGCTCAAACACAAACAAAACACTTTGCACTCAAAAATGCAAGCAACTCCCATAAGGAGGCACACCAGCACTAATCGAAATCGATTTTCTCCAGCTCAACCCTATTGGTGTATACTTGTTGCGGAGGATTCGCGCGGGTCACCCAACCGATGGTCGGGCGGAGGTTCACTATTCTGCCTACACTGGAACTTGCCTATGTTGCGCTTTTTCTTCTTGTTTCTTCTCTTCACTTGTTCCTTCCTTTTGGAGGGAATCGCTTTCGACACGCACCGAGCACCGAAGATCGATCGATTCCGGGGCCGCGTCGATGTTCGGCTCCGCTGGTCTTTGGCCCAGGTCTTCTACCCCCACTGTATCGTTACTGATAAGAAAATCAATTTTCCATCTTTCGTTCTTTCTTTTTTTTGCACTCGTTTCGTACGCTTTTCAGTCGCTTGGGGCTAGCTTTCAGCTGCACCACCTCCGAATATTCACATAGCCAGAGCCTGGACCATATCAAGTATCTGTGTTTTCCCTTCCAGGCATTGTACTCGCGTCGTCGTCGTTGCTATGTACTTCCCAAGCTTGATCCCTTGAAGCACATGTAGCTATGTACGACAAACTGCGCCACCCACTGCCCTCCCCCTGGAGACTGGTGGACAGCAGCGCACACGGTGCTCTGATAACACACACCGAGCAGGAGATGGGATGCTGTGCGACGATGCTGCTATTGCTGTTGCTGCTTTTGATACTGCTGCCACTAGGGGAGCGCTACTGGGGCTGAACCGCGTGAACTTTTCCGGACATTTTTGTGATCCGAACCGGACAGGACGAGAGACTAGCGCGAACTGAAACGGCGAACAAATGCGATACGGAATACTCCCTTTTCCGACTTTGGAAGGTTGACCGGGAAAATCGGAAATCGACGAAAAGAGTGGGTGGCCGGTGGTAGGTGGATGACACTCACAGTACTGGTGCTTGTGAAGGAAAGAGTGTCCTGGTACACTAATGGGTTGTATTGGTGAAGGATCGGAGAGGGAGAACGAGCACTATTGGTGATGTTATTTCTCAGAGAGTGGGAGGCGGTGTTCGGTTGGCGCCAAAATTTTCCAACAACAACTATCAACGACTTGAATTCCGAACTTTATCGTTCGGTATCCGCAGTGGCGTAGCGTGATTGGGTGACACCTCCAATTATTGTCAATAATTCCAGAGACGTTGAATAGAGACTATAAATACTGTAGATTCCATAGATAAGTTAGTGTTGACAAACGAGCATGACGTCATCATGGTGTGTTTTGTGGGGAAGTATTGCAATATTATGAGCACAAAACGCTTTTCACACTCCACATTCGGAATTATTTCGCGGGAAACGGGAGAAGAAAATATTACGCAAACCACTCCTTGATTCATTGTTGCAAAGGTTTGCTTTACACTTCATTTTGAACTTTTGCGCACAAAACAAAACAAAACTGCACAACGAAGAGCATTATGATGGCATGAACAGTTTTCACAAATGCCAGTAAGAGCATTTATTTTTCATGGTTGCCAAAAACACTTTTTGTGCCTCCGCGTATCTATGGAAATTATGATCTATGTATCTATAATAGGCTGAAGCAAGAAGAACCAAACGAACCGTCAAACGCTGAATCAAACGAGCAAAGTAAATAAACATTACTGTTCGCTCAATTTGCCAGAAAGGAATATTGCCCACAATGATGGAAAAAGTGTTTTTTTTTTTTAAATAGAAGGGTCTGTGCCTTGGGGCACGAACGGAAGCTTGACGTAGGACCGCTAGTGGACTGAACAAATATGTTGAGCCTTTAGTTCTTTTAATTGATCGATAATCTATTATCTTAGTCATCTTAGCCGTTTCCAGAGAAGGGCCGTTATTTGTTTTTTTTGTGTCCTTTTGATCGTTTGGGACGACTACCATGTAGCTGATGAAAAATAGTGGTATTGATACCTGTAATTTTAAAAGTTTGTTTGTGATATTAAATTCTGAATGATGATATTATTACTTTCCTATAGCAGTAACTATAGAGTGATGGTAAGAGAAATAGTTGATGAATACTGTAAATATAAGATCTGGAATATGTAGCGCAAAAGCCGTGAGTGGTCGGAACAAACGTGTTTGCTCTTAGTTCTTTCAATTATTCTGTATTTGAATTGTTGGCCCTGAAAAGGGCCTTTTGTTTTTCAAATGGTGTGTGTGTGTGTATTCAATCTAACCCCCACTGGCCGGCAGTGGTATTATGGAAGAAATTTGCTTACAACAATCCTTGATGTTATAATTTGAAGCAAGTTTAATCCGGGAGTTAGAAAGCGATAGCTCTACTGCAGATTCAGCAACCCATTTCAGAATGCCTGGTTATTCACGTCCATTCCGAGGTTACTTTCACATCCAATAAGCCCCGCATGTAAACACTACCGTTATCATATGAATGATGGTATTGCAAACACACTTCCAGATTTCGAAATGTGATGTTTCGAAATCTGGCGCGTATTTAGTAATATGTGGAAATATGCATTTATGATTGATTATAAATCTGATCGATCTCACCAAATTCTGCCTCCAAAAAAGGACCGATTTGTTCACTCGCGGTAATCGAAAAAATCTTCCGCGTTGTTTTTACAACCCAACACGACATTTTGAATCACATTCGAAGTTTTTCATTTGCACCGAATTTTTGCTTGACACCTCATTCGCGTGCAACCTCCGGAGTCCGGAAGGCAGAACGCCAGCACCAAGAAAGAAAAAAAAACCCGGTAAAACCATAGAGGTAAAACTCTTCTTGGGAGGAAGGCAAAGCACCAAAAACAAACGAAATGAAAAACCAACCGACGCGACACCACAGCAATACAGCTTCTCGAAACAAATTCTTGTCCCTGATTTTTCACGTTAATTACAATATCACTTAAAAAAAATTCTTAAGACGTGATAGATCTTAATTTACACTTATCCACACGCGAAAACTAATATTTGTTTGATTTGGTACAATTAAACAAATATGCGAAAAACAGATGAAATCAGCGCCAGCGAAAACAAAACCAACCGTTCGCGGGCAGAGCCTACTGCGTTTTTCAGGGCCTTTTGTTTTTCAAAAGGTGACCCTGAAAAAGACCGTTTTTTTTGTTTTTTTCCTGGTGTCCATCAAAAGGGTTGTTGAAGTTGGAGGGTACGGAACGAATAGGTACTAATCGCTGTTGCCTCTTGGCGCTCCTTTTATTTTGGCGCTATTTGTTGATATTGCTGTTGTATTTGATTCAGTGGATGGAAAACTAACACGAAATGCATAAACGTGCTACCAATTGACGTCTGCGGGAAGGTTTAGAGCTGGATGATTTACGTAAGCTAATTCTCTCACGGAGACTCAATGACCCAAAGCTGATAGTGATTTTCTGAACACTGCTTCTTTGCTGTTATTTCCCTCCATGGCTCAAAAATATTTCAATTTTGTGAACCTGTTTTACCCACCATCTAGAGATCTTAAAAGAAATTCTATAGCGTAGAAATACAGTGGCCTTGAAAAAGGCCATTTTGGATCCAAGAGATTCACATGCTGGGACTTTTGGGATGGCGTGCTTACACCATTGCACAGCGGTTGAAATTTTGCAGGTAATCAATGTTGTAGGCAGCCTAACGGAACGACTGCAGTGGAACGTCCGAAAGATGGTGAAGCTACTCAGAGAGCCTCCGATGTCCGCGTCCTTCAGTGTCCTACCACAGTTGTAGTGACCCTCTCCGTCGCAAATGAAACTGCCATTTTGGATCGAAGCGAACAAACTGGTGTGCTTGGGTAGCTCCAGAGACAGCGTGCTCAGTTGGTTTTCCTGGCAGGATCATTACGCAGGTGATCATTGTAGTCAAACTCAGCTGTGTAACGTTTGAAGGATGTCGTTGCCGTTGGTGATGCTTTTCATTCCGATGTCCGCGTCCACTTTCTGGGTCTTTCAAATTAGTTGTGACGACTGTCCCCACAGCTAATGGAAATGCAACTGATTGCGTTCACTGAATTACAGTCTGTTTTATACTTGCAGAATTGCTAATTAGGCTCATCCCTTTTGGAGTATTTTCGTTAGAGCGTTCCTAGTTGCAAGCATAAGGCAGCATTCACACCAGACCAAGACGTGCTCCAACCAGAATTGAATTGGATTGTTGTGAAAGAGCAACTAGCGCTAGAACAACGCTTTCGTATTGGTGCGATGCGTGCTGTTTCACTCATACGCCATATCCGACGCATATCCGTCCGTCGCTGGAAAATAAACGACGAAGAAACCGATTTGGCAAGCGTTTTTATTACCGCTGCTTTTCTCCTCCCTTTCATTCATTGGTGAAATGGTGAGCGGTCAACCGAGCGGTGAAGTCGCTCATGTGAGCATGCGCAATGTGTCGTGTGTGCGATTTGCGCTCTATCGTTACGTCCGTGTTTTGGATTTTTCGTTACATGTCTGAATTTTGATTTTTCAATGTGACCCCCAGTATAGAAACTAAAGACGTAGTCTTACGTCAAAAAATACGACACAAATTAGACTGTCATACTTATTTGATCGAACTTTGTGCGGGTCATGGATTCTCAGCCTAAAGGCAGAGCTGGTAAATATCACGGCCGTCATGTGACAATGAAAAAACAGGTCCTCTCACTATCACGAGACGAAATGACCGATCATTAGCTTTCTTGTCATTTTCCAATGATCAAGCACTCATGAGAATAATTCTTATGCAGTTTTGACCACCACATTTCTAACTGATTTAGATGAATTTAAGCAAGTAACCATATGTAATCGGTAGAGTGAATATATTTTTAAGATTTCCTTGGTACAAGTAACTTTAATAGCAATACATGAGCTAGTAATCACGATGATCACAGCACTGTCACGTTCTGTCATGACAAAAAAATCGATGAGATTTTGAAGAAAATCTCTGTCATCGTTTTCTCATCCAATGATAGTGACAGAAGTATCTCTGTAAATATCGCATGAGATCTTTCATTGAAAATGACATTTGTCAGCCCTGCCTAAAGGTAACAAAACGCTCAAAAAAAATTCCTGGAAATCGAAATAAACTAACATTTTTCAACGCCATCTTCGTTTTATTTTTGCAAAATATTGCCGCGCACTTCATTTTTATTCAGTTCCAGTCGAACGTTCAAATTTTCTCAACAGCATTGCAGAATGGTATGAAAGTAATTTGAAGCCACTCGAAGAAACATGTTTGCCAGTGACATTGCGAAAAGATCCCTCAAAAATCGTGCTGCTGTTTTGATATAAATTTTATTTGCGCGTCTCAATCAACGTCTCCGAATAATTCTTGTTTACCAAGAAAATAGATGGGAGCGAGACATTTCGCCAATGGATATTTGGCCACCAAAAATTTATCTTGCTGAAGCTAATTTCATCCGAGATTTATATTGTACAATTGTTGCAAAACCAGGATTCAAAATCTTCATGAGATTAATTTTTCCCAGTTTTAAAACTTGCACTAATTTCTTATGAAATTATGCCAAAGATAGTAAAAATCCTTAGGACGTTTTTCCTTCCTTGAAATAGAGCAGTTTTTCCCAAGCATGGAAAATCACTTAAGGTATGCGCACAATAAAATCTAGCCAAAGAAAAACTCACAGTTAATAGTTTTTTTATGCAACAAGTTGCGAAAAGAAGATTTTTTCAGCACGAATCATGCGTAAAATGCAGCTTTGTGAGTAACTGCATATGTACGTTCATGTTGAAAACTGAACTTTCCGATCAAGTAGGTTGGAGTGACTGTCATAAATTTTCAAGCTCTAATCAAGATCAGTCGATAAGAAAACAAGATTAGCTATTATGATTCAGACAATTTACAAGAAATTCGGTGAATGGCGCGTGAAGAACAAAATCCGGTCAGAGGATGAAAAGTGCATGATGGTATATTTATCCCAGGAGATGGCCAGCCCAAGTCCGTCGAGAAAGTGGAGCCACCATTCTATGCTCAATACTGCCATTATAATGAACCAAGATATAAATATTGGTAGTTGCATGAATTTGGTGCAATTTTTAAACGGAAATAGGACGGCTACCGTCCGAAAAAGTCGAAAATTTTCACAGAGGAAAACATTTTTCAATTTTGAAGAACGCCAATATATTTAGCGACGAAGGTAAGTTTTATTAAAATAAAATACGCCCCTCGCTACCACGCCTCTAGTGTTGGGAATCGAAAATCTTTGACAGTGGTTTGTTTACACTTCTATAGAGAACAACTGGTGGAAGTTTGATCAAAGTAGTCGATAACGTTCAGAAATAACGTCAAATGGAACTCGAAAGAAGAAAACATATTGTACACAAACACCTGGAAAGTCCGGAGTGGTCCGGTTTCAAGCTGGCTAAAGTGCTGCAGATACCGAAAACAACAGCTTGTCGAGTGCTCAAAACCTATAAGGAAACTCTGAGTGTGGAAAGGAATTAGCAGACCTACAAAAAAACTGGACCCAGGGATTGTCAGCTGTGCAGCATGGTGTTGAGGTGCGTTAAATCCAACCCCGGTCTTTCGATCCGATATGTGTCCAGAAGGTACAATGCCAACTTTCAAACGGTGCGGAACATCCTTGCCAGGGAAGGATACAAGTCGTACAAAGCCAGTAAACATCCGAACCGGCACATGAAGCCGACCGTGTTTAGACAATGAACTAGCCAACGGCTAAAAATCTCTCTAATAAAGTTTGAAAAAAAAAAATTGTTAAAACACAAGCGCTGCACTTTGATCGATGACGAAACAATACGTCGAACTCGATTTTAAGCAGTTTCCCGGTCAAAAGTTTTACATCGCGACTGGACGTGGGGATGTGCCGGGAAGATTCAAGTTCGTGTTTGCCGACAAGTTTGCGAAGGATTTGCAGTTGTGGTCTGAAAACGAAACCATTCGTCACATCCTCCACGATGACATCCTAAGTTTACATCGAAGAATGCCTGAACAAGTATTGTCGTTCATCCGCAAGCATAGGGGCAAAGTCATCTTTTGGCCCGATTCGGCCAGCTGCCACTACTCCAAGGTGGTCCTGGAATGGTATGCTGCCAACAAGATCGATTTTATCCCCAAGCTAATGAATCCTCCAAATCACCCGGAATTTTGACCAATCGAAAAATACTGGGAAATTTCAAAGCAGCGACTTTGACGAAGCGGCAGGGCAGTCAAGGGGATCCAGCAAATGCGTTCAAAATGGAAGAAATGCTCTGATTCCGTGTCCGTTTCCATTGTGCGTGCGCTGATGGGCTCCATCAAGAGGAAGGTTAAAGATTTTGTTCGAACTGAAGAAATGTAACCATCTAATGCTGTAACTTTGAAGTTTTAATAAAAGTACTGTAAAGCAACCATTATTGGACTTTTTATACTAATTGAATCACGAATTACAGGTCTTTTTGTGTGTACCAATTTACTTTTAGTCAGTCTTTACGAAAGCTCTTGAAATTTAACAAACACAGAAAAGAGCCGAAAAGTAGTACTTGTTATAGTTAGGTAAAGTGAGCCATTATGTCATTCCACCGCATGACGGAAAACAGTTATTATAATGCGGGGTTGCAAACAAATTTACTAACCAGAGTTAATTTATTAATACAAATTATAAGTTGACATATTCGCATAAAAGAACTATTAATTCGACTTCTTATATCCAAATGTTCGAACTTAATTAAAGCATGATTCCATCCATAAGGATTTACACAGTACCTTCAGTCTCCTGATTGGAGTTTCGAACCCCTTCGAATACGGTTGTGCCTAAAGTTTGCTCTCTGTTTTGTTCATAGTTTTCGGCTGCATTTGCCGGATTAGCGCTGGCACTCTGCCTCCCGGACGGTTATACGTGGTTTTCTCGCTTTCCGAGAAGTTTTAGAATCGAGAAAGAAAACATGATTCATCATGTTTGCAAAATTGCATATGTTATATGGTTATATGGTGGTTTTCTCGCTTTCCGAGAAGTTTTAGAATCGAGAAAGAAAACATGATTCATCATGTTTGCAAAATTGCAAGCATCAGAAGATTTGGTGCTATCTGCGTGTTTTGATTTTTTCTCCCGGACTAGAAATTTGTGGCATCGCGAGTGAAAATTTTAATATCAGTTTATTTACGCGGTGATGAGAACGGTGCTGATCTATTTATTGTTAGGGTTTTGCGATGTGCATTGCTTTTGTGCACGGAGTGACTTGAAAAAGAAAAACGAAGAAAAGTGATATTTGGTTGGAGTCGCTGGAGGAGGAATTGTTTAGGGATGACTAGAGAAAAATATGCGTGGAAGCATCGGGAATGTGCTCCCGGGTGTAGTGATTTCGTGAGTACGTTGAAGATTGTTGAAAAGTGTATTTGTGGTGATGCGAATTATGGTTTAGATGACGCATGGCTTCAAACAGTTTGTGTATCCAAATAAAACATATTACATACTAAATACGCACAGGACATCGTCTGCTGACCATTGCCGCGGGTATATCGTGGGAGTCCCAGGTACCCGGTTCAAGCTTTAGTTATCGGCGGTTTTTTTTTTTTTTTTTCTTTATTTTTGTGATTTTTAGCCGTAGGCTAGTTCATCACATCAAGTTGGCGGCGGTGGCTCTTCTTGACCTTCTGCACCCTGAGTAGTTAGTGTGAATAAGGGCGTCTATGTGATGTTTTGCTGTACCTGTTGTGGACATCTAGTGCATCCTGTTTCCTTAACTTGTTGAGGACACCCTGTCTTGCCTCAAAAGTAACCCTTTTTGAAGTACTAGTCTTCACAACATAAAGGGCACCATTACGGAGCATGAGATTTGTTCAAATTATTCGCAGTTCTATTTGTCCAACGCCCCCGGCTGGGTGAGGGATAGAGGATAACACGCACACACACACACCTTCAGTCATCTGATTGGTAGCTTAAAATTTATATCGATTTTTTATTAAAATTTATATCGTTTTTTTAATTAAATTGCATAAGTTTAGGCATAACAGTGTATTTTAAGTAATCTAGACGAAGTTCGGTAGTTTAGCGATTATCGTTTCTGCTGAGCAGAAGGCCGGGAGTTCAATCCCAGGCCTGTCCATTTCCTTGTTTTTATCACTATTCCTAATTCCCTATCCCCATTAGATTCAAATCAACAATCCGATCCGATCGCATCAGACTTACCAGAGTGAATCCAGATAAAAAATAACTTGTTTCACACTAACAAAACTTTCCTTCCAATGGCAATTGTAGGGACATGGTCCCTCAATATCAACGGTTGTCATACTAATTATCATTCCCCTTTCCAAAAGACCGTGGGACGTGGCCGGCGTCAGTGCTGATCTATAAATAGCTTGAATTTGTGAACTTGCACATAGAAGATTGATAAGCTAATCACAATCTATGTGGTTCTCTGTGCAATTCCACTTCTGCTGATCAGAGGCGGATTAGCAACTACGACTACTTTAAACAGTGATCAACTTGCCCCCGGTTTACGGCATCAATGATTGCTATCCGTAGATATTTTGGAATATTGAAAAATACTTCGTTCACATGGAACATGACCGGTAGTGACAAAGATGATAAACACAAGAACTGTTTTTGCTAGAAACTTTGTCTTGCACAAGCACTTGGTGTGCTTGTCTGACGAAACTGTACGTGCATATGATGATCATATTGATTGGCATAGTGTACGATGGTGATGCTACGTGAGATTAACTTTAAAGGCTAACCAATCAGTTTCAATTCACATTGCCCACTTTAACTGTGAAGAATCTGTCATAACTCCACGTGCTTATTAATCGGATCGTCGAGGCTCAAATGATATATAAGCGATCTGCAATCTGTTATCAGTTATCAGTATCCAGGATGAAACTTGTACCGTTCGTAGTTTTCATTGCTATGTGTGCCATGTTTGGCGCTGTTCTAAGTGATGGTGAGTAACAGATGATATCGACCATTTATTATTAAATCATAATCCATTATTACCATTTCAGTGTGTGGTCCGAATGAGGTGCCCGCTGAATGCGGCAACAGTTGTGAGCCAACTTGTGATACATTGGGCCAAGAAACCGGAATCTGTAACAGCATGTGCATACCTGGATGTACTTGCAGTTCCGGTTATGTTCGTAATGGTAATGGAGATTGCGTGTTGCCGTGTGATTGCCCAGCTACAACTACTACCACGACGACAACTACACCGGTGCCGACCAATTGTCCATAGAAGATTTTATGATTTTTTTTATCGACCTCGGTCTGGAGAATCGTATTTTTTGTACTATATTTGTACTTCTGTTAAAATTTCTGTACTCATCCTAAATGAGGTCATATAAGAAAAAAAAAAAACAAATTAAGTAAAAACAGAATTGAATATAATTATAACGCCACATCTTAAAAAAATAATAGAGTCTAGATAATCCTTACTCAAAATTTGTTAGGCCTATAAATTCATGATGTGTAAGAAAAAGTTTTATTACAGCACGAAATAAACTGTTTCGTTGTCTCAAAAAGCATTTACTCAACATTAACCACACTACCGTTGATCATCAGCGGGTAATAACATTATAGCTAGAAAGAATTGACTTTAGTGTAACTTCCCGGGACGCACGACACACAGCATTTTGGAAGCCCTATATATCTGATCTATTGTAAAAAATAGAAACTAATAATTGAAAAGAAAAAATACTTAACCCATGAAAGCCTGGGACAAACTTTTTATTTTAAAAACACATATCAAATTGACATTTGTTTAACATCATTCCGGAGAGTGATTCTTGCATCTGTTGGGTGGAACTCCCCCTCAAGCCCGTTCCTCTTTCTTATATATTCAACAATGTGTTGGCATGGGGGTGGTTTTTCAATATTTATAATATATCTTACCTATCATTGCGACAATATATTGATTTTTTTCGTGGAAATCTCAGAAATGAGAGAGAACAATCATAAGACCCCATGCCTACCTTGAAATCGGTTCCAGATGATCCGGATTATGGTGTCATATGGATAATTTTATTATTTATCATAACTATATCAAGCCACATATCAAATCACATCTACTAGACGAAATATGACCAATGGCATCGAAAAGGACAATCATAGAATCATATGGGCACAGTAGAACCAGTTCTGGATATTCCGGATCATTGTTCCACATGATAAAATTTGATACCTCTCAAATCACATCTACTAGACGAAATTTGATTATTTTATTTGGAGTCTAGTAGTCAAGAAATAATGCAGTGAATTTTAATTAAATAATAACTATGGTGATATAAAGCAAGATGATTGTGCTTTGTTCATGAACAATCACGAAGACAATTTTGGCTTTTGCAGTTATTTTACAACATTTAAAACAATAATAAATTGTTGATATTAATCTACTTGCGAATTGAATTTATAAATCGATATAAAATTGGTTTTGTCATGTCTTTAATACTTATACTAACACATTGTCGAACATTTTTATTTAACATTCGTAAGATTAGCCGATTTCTAAGTTTATATTCAAACATGTTGTCATAAATCTTTTCAAATATCAGTCTCTCCGAACAAAATAAATATCGTCATTCATGCCTGTTAAAATATGTTCGATGCGTAGGAATTGAATATCGTAGAAATTTTTAATTTCGCATTTTAATAGAAATGTTAAAATAATAACAATTGTTTATTTGTTTATTTTATTGTACTTCTGCCATAGTGAAGGGCGAACACGAAATTATTGCGGCACCGAAAATGTCATGCCAATTTTCTTATAATGTTTAGAATCAAACCAAAATTTTAGGGTAGTTTTATACATATATTTACTTCAAAAATCAAAAGAAAAGTTAATCGATGGAGCCTTGAGTGTAAAATTGAACGCATTTTCGCTTGATGCCCTCCATCAAAGTCTTTACAGTGTCATCCGGTACCAGTTTCTCAGTTTTTTTTCCATTTTCTTAACATGTACTTCTCGTCTTTGACTGTCTTCTTTCTCTTCCGAAGTTCCCGCTTCATTATTGCCCAGTACTGCTCCACCGGGCGCAGCTCCGGACAGTTTGGCGGATTCATGTCCTTTGGAACAAAATGGACAGAATTGGCCTCATACCACTCCAGGACACTTTTAGAATAGTGGCATGATGCCAAATCTGGCCAAAATAGCGGAGCTTCGTCGTGCTGCTGCAAGAACGGCAAAAGGCGCTTCTCGAGGCACTCAGATTTGTAGATCTCGCCATTTACTGTGCCCTTTGTCACGAAAGGCTCACTCCTCAGTCCGCAAGAGCAGATGGCCTGCCAAATTTGGAGGCGAACTTCGACATTTTCTTCTTCTTAAATGTGTCGTCCACATCGAACTTGCTCTTGTCGGTGAAAAACTCCAACCCCGGAATTTGCTTAAAATCGGCTTTTATATACGTTTCGTCGTCCATCACACAGCAGCCATATTTTGTCAGCATCTTCTCGTAGAGCTTCCGTGCCCGAGTTTTAGCCGTCGATTGTTGCCGCTCATCGCGGTTTGGGAAGTTCTGTATCTTGTATGTATGTAGTCCAGCTCTCTTCTTTGAATTCTGGACGTAGCTCTGCGACATGCCGATCTTTTTAGCCAAATCACGGCTTGAGACGTTGGGATTTGCTTTAATCATCCGCTTCACCTTTCCCTCCGTCTTTTTGTTCTCCGGTCCCGGTTTTCTTCCAGCTCCTTTGCCGTGGTCCAACGTCAACCGCTCCTGGAACCGCTTCAACACTCTGGAGACGGTTGAATGGTGAATGTTCAACATTTTTCCCAACTGCCGGTGCGACAGGTCAGGAAATTTCAGGTGTTTGGAAAGAATTTGTTCTCTCAACTCGCGTTGGTTCACCTCCATTTTCGTTGAATCGAAAAACACGACTTCGAGTTTGACAGCATGTACACAATACACATCAATGAGAAAATGTGCAAAATTTGGTTGATTTTTACCCAATGGTAAAAAAGTTATGCCCTGTTGAATGTGTCGCAATAATTTCGTGTTCGCCCTTTAATAGTAGCATATTGATTACTTATTTTGTTTATTATTAACGAAAATACCAACATCAAAACGCATAATATCAAATTTTGTGTTCATTTTGTTTTCATTCTCTGCTCGGGTTATCTTTCAACCTAATCAGTTCTGACGCGAGAAGCGTAAGTGGCATCAACAATGTGGTTACGTATGAATGATAAAGATTGAAAAAGAAGCACGATTTCACATGCCGAACCTTTGTAGATAGAGGGTCATATTCGATAGGACGAAGTTACATCCATTGATAGGCCTGGAATGTTTTCATGTTAAAATGGTGACATAAGCATAGCTAAACATTAAGGTGGGACAAAATTCAAATTCCAGTTCCAGGCTGATTTCCGGGAGCCTCTTAGGTCCTAGAGTAACTGTGTGAAGTTTTAGGTCGGTCGGTGTAACTATATTTTAGCGCCAGCGGTTTTAATTTTAAATAGGATTTTCAAAGGGAAAACTTACTTTTTCAAATAAAAATCTGTCGAGGTCACCCATTGTCCTCTAAAAATAAATCAATCCAACTAATTCCTAGGAAATTTTACAAGGAAACTTTTCTTGCAAGACCGCAAAACGATTCAACGCTTGTGGAAAAAGTTATTTAGCCATTATTGATTGCTAACCAAACGAACTGTTCATTATTCTTTTTTTCTAGCAGCACTACCAGCTGCCGCCTGCTGCTGTCTGCGTGAGACAGTCACGTTGTGTGGGGGTTCACTCAGCATGGAGGAAAGCCGATATCATGCTGAAAGAATCTTCGATTTGGATGAAACTTTGCACAGGGTCATTTTGAAACAAACATAATTTTTCACAAGGGCGTATTTGTTTTGGCACACAATTTATTCAAATAATCCTACTTGAAAAAACTTCGAGTGTAGAGCAAAACCGTCTAGGAAAAAAATATAGGCTGAACATTAGGCTTTACGAAAAAGATGTGTTTTACTTTTTCGTTGATTTCAACTTTTGAATCGGAAAAGCAAGGGCCACGTTCCATTCCGATAAGAACCATAGATGATTTTGGAAGGCTTTCATGACAATCAAAGCGTAATGTTGGTCGTGAAAGTTGTGGAGATCTGCCCAAAATTCCAGATCCACTCGAGGGACCTAAACTGAACTACTTAGACGATACCAATATCGATATAAATAGAGCCAAAGTTGTGACATGCTTCCAAAGAGACTGATAATAAAAGATTTCGTTGCACATCCACGATTTCAAAAGGTGGCCCATCCACCTTGCACGACTGAGGCTACCTGTCTTGTGGAATCTTAATCCTTTTCGAGGAACTCCACCCTAAAACATTACGACCAATTCGAGGAGCTTTCGTAATCCGATCGTTGTTGTTTAATCAACAGCTGGTCGTTACAAAACGCTATGATGCCGTCCCTCCATGGGCCAGTTAAGGTACTCAGCTCTGGATCCTCCAATCGGAAATATCGGTTGCTCCGATTTTGATTGAATTCTTTTTTGAATTCATTAAAAGAATCGAGATTGTTCGACGTGTTTGAACTCAATTTCGGCGATGTAATGGCGGGATGCCAATGGTAGCAAGTATCTTTTCAGTAGATCTGGAAGATGGGTTCTAAAACCAGTTTTTACGCCAGAGTTAACACCAGTTGTATCGTATTGTAATATTTCCTAGGGAGTAGTTGGATTGATTTATTTTTAGAAGACAATGGGTGACCTCGACAGATTTATATTTGAAAAAGTAAGTTTTCCCATAGAAAATCCTATGTAAAATTAAAACGGCTGGCGCTAAAATTTAGTTACACCGACAGATCTGAAATTTTGCACAGTTACTCTAGGACCTAAAAGGCCCCCGGAAATCATACTGGAACGAGATTTTTTGTCATATATCCGTGTCCCAGCCTACTAAACATGCATGTTGACAGTGAAGCATCATTTGCAGCTCCATTATTAAATGAGATATGCCGTAACATTTAATTGAAGGCTTATTATTAGATCAAGGGTTTCTGGGGCATAACATCTCTGATCACGCCTTCCTTCGGAAGGGAAGTAAAGACGTTGGTCCTCGGTTCATGCATTGATGGGTCGATAGGCAGGGTCCAGGTGTGGGAGCTGCCTCCCTGGCATTAGTGCTCAGAACGGAAAACAAGATCGACGGAAAACAAATCAAGGAAAAAAAAATTAGACGAAGGCTAGGAACATATACCTTATTAAAGTCAGGTGAGATAATAAATAAAATAAATAACTAAATAAATAAAACTTGGTTGCCATCTTTTAAGGTGTCAGATGTTTGCCTTCTTTTTGTAGCACTGAAACATTCGTGGAGTATCAGGTTCATTATTGTATGTTTTGGGAACTGATATTTGATTTTATGGTCTGGAAATTTCGATGTGATAAAGTGATAGATTAGAAATAAGACTTCCACAGAGATTCAATTCACCTTGAACGATTCGGTCTCAACCATAGCGAGCACTTGGAGTGACTGTTGGGTCGTAAATAACAATCATCATCACAGCTATGAGTGCTATGGCTTGAAACTCCACTTTGCGTCGAATAGCGAGTAGGGTTCTCGATATCACAGGCAAACAGACGTAGCGCTTGAGACAAATTTACTTTCAAAACTTTGCCACGGAATTCAATACCTACCGATACCTCCCTAGCCAAATGTGGAATGTCATAAACAATGTTGCATGCAGGAGGAAGTAGTGTTAAAACCGTACTTTATCAGTGAGTAAACTGCAAAACTAATCATATGCATTTGAATTGATGTGAAGCGTCTTTCTCTTCTATGTTACTGATGTATGTAGTTTAGGTTATATTACGTGATGTTATTTCGTATTACAGACTTATCGTTATCTAGTCTTACCCATTGCTTATTGCTGTGGTACGTGTCATATCATTATAACATTAGCTTGTTAGAATTTTAAATATGCAGCTGTATGGTCGCGCAACTCGAATAATGGGTGCACGCCCTGCACACTAGGGTGGGTCAACTTTACAACCCCCTGATACTCAATGCTTTTTCGATCTGATTGAGATTCCCAGCAACTGTGCCAAATTTGAACAAATTTTGTTATGATCTGGATTTGCGGAAGTACACTGAAGTCTTTTTTTACACGGTTTTTTTTACGCGGTTTTTTTTTACACGGTTTTTTTTACACGGTTTTCCACGATTTACACGGTACGTTTTTATAGATATCTTGACAACGATACAACCTATCGACTTGATTCCAATCACATTATCCGTTTCAAGCTATTTGTAATCGAATGGCATACTTAAAAAAAACACACAATTTTTGGTGTAAATACAGAAAATTTTAAAATATGTCTATATGGACCATATCATGCTTTAATTACAAATGGCATCAAAATCCGATTTTTTAAAAACATTTAAGCATGCGAAAAATCAAAATCTCGTAAAACCGTGTAAAAAAATACCTGAGTGTACTACAAAGTTTCTATTGAACCTTGTGCTCCGCGCATTTCTAAAGGCGCATATAAAGGTTGAACATGAAAAAATCCGGACACATTAAAAACGCTGCCATTAGGGTATTTTTTGAGTAATTTTTATCAAAATTTCACTGAATCAAGCTAACAGTGTATAAAATCACAGTAGGCATTGGTTGTTATGATAAGTTCATTTGTTTACATCATGGTATCACCGAAGCAAGCAGGTCGCGATTCGATCTTGCACGCTCGGAGCGGTCTATCCGCTCCTGGCAGTTTTTGATAAAATTCCTGGGCTGGAATTTTATACCTCGGTTGACCGGAAGAGTACCCTGGAAGAATGTAAAAAATCCCCAAAACGTTCCTTGTCTGGCAAGCAATCTGCAGTTGTAGGCTGAAACGCGAAACTAACGTTACTTCTGGGACCATGAACTAGCAATTTTACCTACGGAGTGCCTACGGGAGAGACTACTACCTTTTCTGGAGCAGCATCAGGTGGATTGCCTATTCCGGACTTGCCGAACTTGGCAAGCTACCACTACTGAAATTCCACCAAACAGTGATACAGCGAAAATAGCGTCACAGTGGTTTCCAAGGAGATGCATCCGGCCAATACTCCGGAACTAAGGCCAATTGAGGAATACTGGTCAATTGTGAAGCATATTCAGAAGAAAAAGGCTGGAACTGCAATTGACCTGAAGGATTTCAAGCACAAATGGAATTTGGCAGCCAAACAAGTGGAAACAGGGCTCGTGCAAAAGATGATGGGCCGTGTTCGAAGATAAGTTTGGTCTACGGTAAGAAGGAAAACTGAAACAACGCATTTTTAAACCCCAACAAGATTTTCGTGTCCGGATTTTTTCGTGTTCATCCTTTATTTACGAATATAAAGTGCTGATGGAGTTGTGGAAAAATTTCATGAATAGCATTCAATGGATTCTTAAGGAATTCCTACTTTAAAATTGTTTTCCACCTCGTGCATTGATAAAATATCAAAAAGTTGTGCAACAATTCGCACTTCACCCTAGTGATTGTGCAATGTACACGGAGAAAAAATACTACCCAAAATTTGAGTTCTTTTTACTTAATATTGACTTCAGCCTCTCACTTGCACTCGTTATTGTTGTCAAAAAAGGAACAAGAGATTCGACCCAACGATATAGTTCAGCTCAATAAGTTACTTTTGAGTAAAATGCATATTCTCAAATTTACGTGGTTTAAACTTAATTTTGGGTAGAATATACTTAAGAGTAGGTATTTTTTTTGCTGGTGTTAAATGGAAACTACTATATGCGATTCACTCAAATTTGGGTTATTGGGCTGAACCCCGGAATTGAGGGAAAAGTACTTAATTGTGGGTAGTTTTTCATCTCCGTGTAGGGAAGTCAAAACAAACAACACATGGTCAATAATGAATATTTATTTTACAATCCAATGCCTGGCTGCTTGGCAACAATCTACGAAGTTCATTGCATCAGCCTTTCCGGCAGCCACACGGTGTTGGCTTCTTGGGACAACCACAGGGTGGCTTCGGTTTCGGCTGAGGACATTCACACGGCAGAATGCACCGTCCGCTTTTGTTTTCCCGTACGTATCCCTTCTTGCAGTAGCACCCGCGCCGGCACACCTGGATACACGGTTCCTCCGGTTCCAGATTCTCGCAGGTCCTCGGACATTGATCGCCGCACAATCTGTACTCGGTATTGGGATCGAGACACACTGGGCAATAGAAAAATAAAACAAACGTGATCAAATTGGGTGTGTCAGCTTGAGATTAATCGTACTCACCTTTGCATGGCTTGAAATCGCCAAGGGCTACAGTGCTTATGGCTAGGACAATCACAATGGATGCGAGTTTCATCTTGAGCGCTTCACTGATGACTAAGATGCGAGGATGATCCTTTTTATAAGGCAAAATGGAAGCTGGATAGGCGTGTCGGAATGCATTCTTGTGCGTATCATCAGACTGCCGTTAATCATCATGATGTTGCACATGCCGAGAAGCAAGACACGAACTTATCGTGAATGTTCAAAACAATAACTGGTATGCTATTAAACCTTTATTAAACTAAGATAAACAAAACTCTATAGATCACAAAGCCTAGCCGCATGTTGTTTCAGTAGGTTCCGGTATGGTGGTAGTGGTCTTCGGAGGGCAGTCACATGGTAGAACGCATTCCTGAGTTTGGTTGTCCAGAACGTAACCATCTTGACAGAAGCATCCTCTAACACACAGTTTGACACACGGCACAACTATTCCCAACGTGTCACACGTTTCGGGACAGGCTGTTCCGCATTCTTTGTACCCCTCGTATGGACCGCATTCTGTAATGGGTTATAAAAGGCAATATATGCGCTAGGTGATATTGATCCTTCAAAGTAGACACAACCTACTTTCGGATGGTACAGCACAGACCGCAGCTCCGGTAACTACGAGCATCACAATCGCTACAAGTTTCATCTTGGACACTGATCAGTGGAGATTAGGGGGATATCCTTTTTATAGCAGTCGGATGCTGACCAAACGTGACAATATTTTCCGTGAAACGGGATAGCATTGATAATTTGTTTAAAGTACATTCTAAATATTTTTTAAAGCAATGAATGTTTTTAAAATATTACTTTTTTTAAACAACAACCTAGACTCAATTCGTTAGTAATACGTTTAACGGAAATGATTGCATTTGCACTAATTTTTTAGTCTTGTGATCGAACATCATTATTTTGATATGGGGTTTCTTTGAAAATGCTCGATGAATGTGATGCGATGCGTGAAACTCAATCAATTTGAAATATGAAACTTTAAATAAGTATATAATCAGAAAACATCATAAGCAATAAGAAGACAACATTGAATTTGTGATGGCTATATCGGAAATACATTTCATAAGTGATTGTTTGAGTGTCTTTTCAAACCGTCGAAAAACAAGAAAATTGTGTTTCAATATGTTTGGAAAATATGTAACTAATATGTGTTAAAAACTCTGTACGATATCAAGGGCAATACCCTAAGCTACAATATGGAACTAATTTTTCCAATTTGTATAAAGTGCAATGAGTAAATTTAAGCATTATATTCTACTATCAAAGTTATCCGCATTATCAAGGATACACCGTTTTACGGTGTATGAGCTGTGGGCTCTCATAAGTTACGCAATCTTGGTTTCTAATAGATTTTCTTCTTATTTGGCTATATTGCGTCTGTTCTGGGACTTTGCGCCGGCCCTCAACTCTGCCGGCTCTGAACCAGTGGCGGAGTTCCTTTTTTAACTTTTGGTTAAAATTTGACTGAAGGAAAGTTGTCGATTAACCCTACTATCCGAGCGTAGTTATTTCTGACAGACAAGAAGTTAGATTTTGACAAACATTGAGGTAAGCATGAAACGAAACAGAGAAAGAGTGGTGCGCTGTGATAAAAGTGTATTTCCTCATTGTGCTCTTTAAATGAGAAGCTTTTGAATTTGCTCCCGGTGTCGATGAAGTAGAAAAGAAGCAAAAAACTGGCAGCACTGTCTGTAGTTGTGTTTACAGTATTCATTACGATTTTCTAAGACTAATTTTCGTGATCCGTAGCGCTTTTTAATTTGTTTTATGTTGCGTGTCCGTTTGTTTATTTCATTCTCCACCCTTCGTCGGTAAAGTTCAGAGCATTTCTAGTGCCAACCGTGTATAAAACGTGTCGGTATTGTCGGTATTTTGTTGTCACTGATTAGCAACCGCCTACCACCTCCCCACGCAATTTTTTTCGCGTGAAGTGACATCTCCTGGAATAAAAAGGAACCAGTGCTGTCTGTAGAGAAGTATATATGCTGGTGATATCACTTTCGATCGATCATCAGTAAGGATGGCATGCACCAGTTGCAAAAAAGTTGTATCGGATTCGGAGAAAATTTTTTGTCGCGGGTACTGCGGTAATTTGTTTCACTTGATCTGTGCAAAGGTGGATTATTCGCTACACGAGGCGTTGGGAACCCATTGCCGGAATCTTTTCTGGATGTGCGATGGTTGCGCGGATGTGTTTTCCAGCGACCACTTTAGGAAAATTACGTCACGGTGCACTGCTGAAAATTTACCTGATGAAGCTTCAGTGAATTCGCTAAAGGACGACATAGCTGGGCTGAAGGACATGGTAAATGTTCTTTCTGCAAAGAAGGATGCCAAACCTCCAGCTCCCGTTTTGAATACTTCATGGGTGAAAATCTTTGCGTCGAATCCTGTTCCCAACACTCCGAAACGGAAGCGTGATGAGATCCTGTCGTCGGCGAAAGCTCCGGTTAATCGTGGGACTAAATCGGCCTTTAATACGTTAAAAACAGTGCCATAGCATGAGTATCTGCTATGGATTTATCTGTCAGCTTTTGATCCCAACACTCCAGATGATGACATCGCATCACTAGCAATTACCTGCATGAATCTGGGCCCTGATGTGAAACCTAAGGTTATCAGGTTTGTGCCTAAGGACAAAGACCCTGCCACACTTAGCTTTGTGACTTTCAAAGTGGGCGTTAGTAAGGATCTGAAGGACGTTGCATTGTCAGAAGAAACATGGCTTGAGAACGTGTATTTCCGTGAATTTGAAAATCGCTAAAAAAAACCGTCAAGTCATCAGTATTGGTGCGAAACCATCAGCGGATACCGGTGGCCAATAGTATCCTCTACATTGGAATCAATCAATTCACCGCTGCTTGCTGAAATCAACCCAGAACGCACTGCCTGTAGCATTGTGGAAGCCCCTAGTCCTCCCGACCCAGTCGTGCTTGCTGTTTGTTCCTGCCTTCACAGTCGTTCTGGACCTGTGGTGGAGGTTGGTGTCGGGGTCTTCCAGAACCCTCTTACAGGCAAGTATTCCTCACGTATCAGAAATTCGTTGGTTGATAGGATATCGTTACGGCCTGACTCTACCGAAAACAAAACTTCTCAATTCCGAACCAAACACCAGGATGGTTCACCTAAAGCAGCAACGAGTACCTCAACGTTATCTTCCTTCATCATCGTACACTTTTTTACCGGGCCGCACTGCACTCAGAACATTGGAAGCCCCTAATCCCTCCGACTCAGTCGAGCTTGCTGGATCCCGCCGTCATAGTCGTCCCGGTCCTGAGTTCGGAAACGGAGACGGGGTCTTCCAACCTGTGACCACAGGCAAGTACAGTTGCATAGATGAATATTTGTCAAGCTCTGATACCTCTTCGAGTTGCAGTTTACCTTCTTGCGGGATACACGCTGTATCTCAACGCGGTTTACGTGTGTACTATCAAAACACCAGAGGACTCAAGACTAAATTGGACGATGTTTATCTTGCTGCGCTTGACGAGGAGTTTGACGTTTATGTCTTCACGAAGACATGGCTTGATGGGAGGATCAATTCTGTGCAACTGTTCGGCGACTCCTTTAGTGTCTACCGATTGAACCATAATCTTGCCAACAGTGTTCGTACTCGCGGAGGTGGTGTTCTCGTTGCTATTTCTAACGCATTTGCCTCTTGCCAGATCGCCTATGAACAATTTACTTAGATTGAGACTGTTTGGGTTAAAATTAGCCTCGCTTCACGGAGCATTTTTATTGGAGCGGTGTACATTCCCCCTGAACGACGTCTCGGCTGTAGCATAATGCAACTTCATATGGATGCTGTAGAATTTGCTTCTTCTATGGCTAATTATTCGGACATGATTCTTATGCTCGGTGATTTCAATCAGCCTGGGCTTATCTGGTCGCACTCAGGTCAGGGATTTGCATATCCAGATCCAATAGCATCTGTTACTACTCCGGCCAGCCGCTTGCTTGTGGACGGTACTGGTTTTCATGGATTGAGCCAGATAAATCTAGTTCCCAACTTTCAGTCTCATTTCCTAGACTTGGTGTTCGTTAGTGAAAATTCACTTCTTGACTGTACCGTTACTGAGGCGCCTGATGTCATCGATCCTCTTGACAACTTCCATCCTGCTTTGGATATTTCTATCGCAAATAGATCTCAACTTCACTTTGATGAAACTTCGATTGTCTATCGTCTCAACTTCCGGAAGACTGATCTACGTTTGCTGCGACGTTCCTTGTCCGAGATAGACTGGAACGTGTTGAATGACCTGGAGATCGACATAGCTGTCGATCGCTATAATTGCTTTCTGCGCGACTGTATTTCTGCTTCAGTGCCAAAGTGCCTACCTCATAGAAAACCGCCATGGGCTAACGCTACTCTCCGCAACCTGAAAAGAGCACGTGCTAGAACGCTTCGTGCCCTTACTCATCGGCGGTGTTTCTTGACCAAACGGAATTTTTCAATTGCCAGTAACAACTATCGCCGCTACAACAAGCTTCTCTACCAGCGGTATGTAATTCGCACTGAACGCAATCTGTGAAGCAATCCTAGGGGATTCTGGTCGTTCGAAAATACTAAAAGAAAGGAAACTGGTCTCCCGTCGAAGGTGTTTCTGGGCAACGACGTAGCATTGACAACTGAGGATAAATGCAGGCTTTTTGCAAGGCACTTCTTGAGCGTTTTCTCGAACGACTCACCATCGCAAGCTGAAATCAATCTAGCAGTCCGCGATGTGCCAACCGATGTCGTAAACATGGATGTTTTTACTGTGGATGTTGAAATGGTTCTCTCTGCGATAAGGAAAACTAAATCTTCTTTTTCACCCGGACCGAGCGTTATACCATCTGCTGTGCCGCCCCGCTGACCCTGCTTTTTAATCTATCGCTCCATCAGCGTAAGTTTCCCACGCTTTGGAAATGCTCTACTATGTTCCATGTTTTCAAGAAAGGAGACAAATGCAATGTGGAAAACTACCGTGGGAATACCTCGCTCGGGGTCGAATCTAAAGTGTTCGAGTCGCTGGTCAATGAGAGATTGTTTGGTTCCTGCAAAAACTACATTAGCACCTGCCAACATGGCTTCTTTCCTGGCCGCTCCGTCGAAACGA